TGAATTTGAAAACTTAATGTATTGCTCGTTACACTTCTTTTACAGCTTTTAACACAATCTTAAACAACTCGACCGTCTTCCGTCTTACACAACTCACCACATTTTAAACTGTTATTCTCACTTTGAAACTCAATCCTCATTTCTTATTTATCCCTCCCATTTCCTCCAAAGACCAATCATAATCATTCAGCCGTTCAAATAATGAACAATCTTTCATCCGTCATCCCACTATTCCGTTACACACACAACTCAATAATCCTACATACATTATGCGGGCTGCGATCACTTCGACCTGACCGCAGAACGCATCCAGTGTGGCACCACCTTTACAAGATACAAATTCGAATCATCGAATACTGAATTGAGTGAACGCTGTTGCGGAAACACACACGAGCTATTTTCTGAGGATTATCAAAATGTTTACAGTTTAAAAGCGATGTTTACGATCCATTTACTTTGTATATTATCATACGAGAATTTGGGACGGGTCCGGTTAACTTTGTTATTTTTAGTACCGACGAATTAAAAGCATGAAGTGGGAGAGATTTAGGAAAAAAAATTGAAACTGTTAAAATGTTTCAGAAGTATTAAATTGATTTTTTTCTAGTTACATTTGAGTGATTTTTTGATCACGGTGTGTATAAAAAAAGACATCCAAGCAAGATACCGTTTATTTCTAATAATATGAAAGACATTAATAACCATTACAAAATGTATTTTTCCATCGTGCTTTGATCTTTAACGTAAATCAAGAAAATATTCTTTTGTTTCATGGCAAAACAAAGTAAAATTACTTTTTCTCGTGCATTATTAAAAGGGTGGGGTATTTCTTCAGAGAAGATGAGTGTATGGAGATATTATTTATTGAAAAAAAAATTATTTATAATAAGTAATCCTTACAAAGACTACAGGGATATTAATACAACTGACAATTTAATTACAATGTAGCTTGCACTTCCAGTCTCTGGGTTGACTTGAAAAATATACGTAGATGAAAATTTCAAAATTTTGGACACAATTAACCTCTTAGACTATTTTTGCATTTTGACAACCAAAAAATTCAACCTGTATACATTAGCATCTACGCAGATATACATTGATTCAATGAATACTTTGCCAAATTGCTTTACACCCTCCTTTCCGCAGAGGGAAGTCTAGACTGCCTGCAATTGTTCCTGCCACATTATCCCAAGGGAGCGACATCGCAAAAGACGTACTCTAAATCTGTTTTATCAAATAAATCCCGCTTTTAACTGAAATAGAACTTGGCGTTTCAGATTCTTTACTCGAAATTGCGGGCGAAATACATTCTGCGGGAGTCGCGTTTCTTAACAACTTGAACTATTTTCTATAATAAGAGCAATTTTAAATTGCTTAGAGTTAAAGGAACTTTGGTTTTGAAAATAGTTTTCAATTTAAGTTGTATTTTTGGAAAACTCGTTATAGTATCAACTTCAGCTATGTTCACATTGGCACAATTGTATGTTTTTATGTACAAAAGTATGTTATTATGTCATTGCTACCCCTAGCCCCTTAGCTTAGTTTAGAACTAGATTAAGTGAATTAATTTTTACTAGGGATTTTACTCACTCTCTCACTGTAAACGTCTTTCAAAAATGTTTAGTTTACTAATACCTAATCTTTCGACACGCGATTAATGACTGAATTAATTAATGTATAATCTATTCTGTACGTAAGCCCCGAAGCAATATGTCACTCAATATACTAACCGCTATTTTCATTAAGATTTTGGCGACCGATCCTCTATAGCGTTAAAGAAAAGCATTACCACCTTTATCGCATCCCTGACCTGCTTCACATTTTAATCCATAAACTTAAAAACGCAATTGCCATCAGAAAGCTGAAAACTAAACATAAAAAGCTGGTACGCATTTTTCATCCATTTTTATGCGATGCCCAGTCGTATTCCAAATCCTATCGTATTGCGTGGAGGGAAGGGTTGGGATTTGTGTGTTTTGGGGTCTTCATATAGAATAGGATCAATCGAGCGTATAGCCAACAAGCGAAACTGTTGGTTTGCGATATCTCGAAACTTCCACGTCAGTCAATGGGCGGATATTGGCTATATTTTGGCGAATGGTTTTTCTTAAATATTCGCCTCAGTGGGTACCAAATGAATGGAAAATAGGTCGCCTTTTATTATATTTTGTTAACCGGCAACACTAACATAGTATTATCTTTTCCATTTTGACTGTTAGTACCTTTGTCAGTGTGGTCAGTTTGAATAATAACTAAAGGTTTCATAAAATAAAGCTAATGTTATCTCTTGCAGCACAAATCAATTACAAAATGACAATGAAAAAGAGGCTGACAATTATAGTGACTTGAGTTTCTTGCGCTGCTTCTTCTCAACACTGGCCTATTTATTGTCCCGTTTCCAGTATTAATACTGGAACGTGTAAAAGTGCTTTTTAAAAGCCTGCTTGCATAAATAAAAAATGAGTTTTTTGAAACTATGAATATAAATCTGTTTAGTTCTCACAAATAACGTTACCTATTTAAAAATGCGCTACAATATTTTAGCCTCAAGCGTATTACTATTTTTTAAAAGCTAAGCTATTATCTTATTAAAATTAAAAAGGTGTTTATTGACTATTTATTTACTTGCCAAGCCATCATTCTTAACGCAAAATAAAAATGTTAATAACCAAAATTAAAAACCCTGACCTTAAAAAGTAGTATAAACTAAATGGTGTCCTAAAGCCAAAAGATAAAAAGTTAAAACGCAGTAACTCCAGTTAATACCTGAAATAAAAACAGTAATTGTCTCGCAAGAGTTAAATGCTATTAACTCCGCAATAACTTTTGTAAAAACTTATTTTTACGATATCTTTTAGTATTTTAATCTTTGATGGACTTAGGTTCAAGGACTTATGAAAATATTATTCTTAGTTTATTACCTTTTGAAATATCTGAATTCGAAGTTCTAGCATATTTATAATATCTGTAGAGTTACCAATTTGATTATAACCTAATAGATTTAGTTTTTATTTTTGGTAAATTTAACAATGTCACTAAAGTGCCCAGAATTAATATAAATCTTTGATCTTTCTATATCTGTTAACAATTATTTTGCCATTAGGTATAAGTGGTTCTAATTTTTCAGATTTAAAATACTTCGAAATCGATTGCCTTTGGTAAATTAAACAAGACAGGATCGTCGTACAGTAGAGACAAAATGACTGATGATTATGATGATGATGATGATGATAATTTGGAAAAGGAACAAAATACATACTTGATTACTAAGACTGAGTTGCCGGTAACCGGTATTTTTTGTATGGAGTTTGGCACATTTTTTACGTTTATCAAAGTTAAAGTAAGATAGTGCAACCCAGCCTTAATTTTGACGTCAATCTGTCAATGATATTTGAGAATCAGATATTTATTATATGGAATTTATGACCAACAATATTTGAGACTGAGAAATATTTCGAATCCCGTCTGACATATCGGATCGCCGACCTTATTCTAGCGGTCGGACCGCCAATATTTAATATTGGAACGTATGTCGAGCTGTCAGTCAATTCGCCGACTTAGGCCAACACTATGTCGCCATATTGACAGCGGCTAAAGATTTTTTCATTTGAGCACAACGCGATATATAAAATCAGTTTGAGAGTAAAATTCTAGTTCGTTTTTTTCATCCGAATGACGTCCACTGCTAGATGAAAGCCCCCAAGGATTTGAGTTTTTACCTAACATTATCTACTTTTTCATGAAAATTAGATTATTATTTGTTAACGTATAAATACAGGAGTTGTACCCCTACATCCATCATTATGTTTGTTTTTCCGTGTTGATTGCAAGATATGAAGAAAAACTCTTGTCAAACTTAAGGACTCTCGGCGACTTTGTATTAGTTCAAAAACATCAAAAGTTCACGACTCATGTCGGCGCGTCTGCGGGCTTGGTGTGTAGACAGCATTTAATTAGGTGCGTCAAAACTAAATTTAATTTCAGGTATAGATGGAAACTTTTGATTGATTTAACTTCAATATTTATTACTATCCCAATCACAGGACAGTCTATAACTGAGATCGAATCGTATTTTGAGAGTTCTCCTGTAATACGCAGAGAGATTAGTCATCCTCCATAGGCATCTAACATGGCTAACATGGCTAACATGGGTTAATCGAATTGAAAGAGTAATAAGCCCGTCTGTCCATGTGGACATATAACGTCCACTCGTAAGACCCACTAAGGCGGAGCAGAGCGGAGGGGAGATTTGTTTTGAATAACCAATCCGCACAGATCCGCACCGCTGTCAAATAAAGAAACACTAGCGCTTTCGGCTAATAGGCGGCTTCGCCCGCGTGGAATATTGTCTGTCACAGAAAAACTTTATCGCGCGCGTCCCTGTTTTAAAAACCGGGATAAAAACTATAATATGTCCTTTCCTGGGACTCAAACTATCTCTATGCCAAATTACATCAAAATCGATTCAGTGGTTTAGGCGTGAAAGCAAGACAGACAGACCGACAGAGTTACTTTCTATATTAGTATAAAAGTATAGATTCTAGTCCTATTTTACAAGCAGATGAGAATAACATTTATTCATCATCATCATTATCATTTCAGCGATAGGACGTCCAGTGTCCACCGCTGAACATAGGCCTCCCCCAATGCTTTCCATGTTGATCGATTGGTAGCGGCCTGCGTCCAGCGCTTCCCTGCTACCTCTATGATGTCGTCGGTCCACCTTCTGGGTGGACGTTCCACGCTGCGTTTCCGGTACGCGTCCTCCATTCCAGAACCTTGCTGCCCCATCGGCCGTCAGTTCTGCGTACTATTTGCCCTGCCCATTGCCACTTCAGCTTGCTAATCCGTCGGGCTATGTCAGCGACTTTGGTTCGTTTACGGATTCCTCATTTCTGATTCGATCTCGCAAAGAAACACCAAGCATAGCCCTCTCCCGCTTGCTAACCCGTATATCATTAATTGTCAACCCATTAAAGTGCAAATTTCTTTGTCCACAGGTGAAAACCCAGCAGCGATGCAATCGTCGTCACCCAGTTATATCCGTCTAAACCTCAACGGGTTCCTATTACCGACACTAGTTACCATCAACATCATACGGTGACAATACTAACTGAACAATGTACTCTAACCCTAGTTAAGGTGTATATCGCTTGGGCGGGGACGGCAGCCATTACGGGATATGGGTACACAACATTGTTTAGGCAGTGTTCTAATTATGGGCACTGGCACAGAATAGAAATTAACAGAAGACAATTGTCATGCGTCTACTTCACTTTGCATACCTACGCTCGGCGCGGCGGTCGCGCTAAGGTTGTCAATTTTGGCTTATGCACAAAAAACGGTAGCGCATTTTCTTACATAACTTTTCAATTCCTATCATTGGAGGTCCGAAAATATTTCTCATACAATTTGATACCATAATGATCATTCTTCATAAAAAATTTAAAACCTACATATTTAAAAACATAATCATTGATATTCATAATATCACTAATCATACACTTAGTTTTTACTAATATTTGTTTTCATATATTTTTCTATACTAATGATCGAAACTCATAATCATTCGAATAAATAACTATAATATTCATAAATGTGATGTATCCTAATATTTGTTTTCATAAATTTATTACTCATAAGTGTATTTATCCATATTATTGAAAATCATGATGTCTATATTCGTATTAAATCGTATTTTAACATTAAATTAATTTGAAATGGTCCAAAACAGGCAATATTTTGTGCCACAAAACTAACGTGACAGAAACGAATCGCTGCAAAACCGACTCCACGTAGTCTTGTCTGCCCTACCCCTAGAGTGTAATTTAAAAGCCGGAGGCGCGGAGGGAGGGCAGCCCTCGCCCGCTGTAACGAGGCTCAGGCGCCCGGGTGAGCTGGAGCGGCTGAGGCTGGTCGCCGAGGCGCCGAAGGCGCCGATGGCGATCCAAAAAGCCGAAGCTGCGGAAGCAAGCGTGGGTGCCTGAGCCTCGTTACGCAAGGGCGGAAGGGCTGCACATCCCGCAGCGCCGGAGACGAGGAGATACCAATGCATGCTGCATGCTTGCTTTCATGCTGCATGCTCTGCATGCTTATCTACTCTATTAAATTATATATGATTTTTTTAAAGATACGAGTATGTCTGTTATAAAGTAAATTATTCTGAACAACAACATTATGAGTTGAAGTATGTTCTTAGTAACAACATTATTAATTAAAACAAATGATCAATGAATGTTATGAAAAAAAAAGATCTGAAAATAAAAATTATGTATTTTAAATGGTTCTTAGTAGTAACAGTATTAATAAAAAAATTATGATTACTAACTGTTATGAGCTCCGATGGTAGTAATAAAAATGTATGAATAAAAAAAGTATGAAAAATAAAATTATGAAGAGAGATTATTATGAACACAAATCGGTAGTAAGACAAAGAATAGGATTTAGAATTTTATGTGAGCCAATATAGAACCACAAAAAACATACTATCTTAGTAGTGGTACTCGTATCTAATTTTCTTACATCCTATAATGCTTGATTTTTGTTAAGAAAAGTACCTTATACTCGTAAGTAATAGATAACTGAAATTATATTGTCAAGTTTTGTCTTGCGAATATTTCGACATTGGTGAATTGCTCGATTATATTTAAAGCACATTAAATTCTCATTCACAAATTTAAATACTAAGCTAGTGGAAAAATTTCAGACGCGTGTATTAAGCGGGCGGGCACCCACGCTCGTATTGGTTTAGATTGGTTTGCGACACTGTCTTCACGTTATCGTGTCCGTGAACGGTGTCTGTGTGCGTCGCTCGAGCGCACATTTTTTTAAGATTATTAGTAGGTAATTTGTTATTGTTAAAATTATTAATAGTCCCGTTAGCCTCTCGTACTAAGCTAAATATGCTTGTATCACGAGTGTTTTCACCACAATAGTCGAGCGGCGGCGGGGACCGAACCCGCGTTCCCCGGATCACGAATCGGCCAGTCCGATTACTTCACATTGTACGTGGATTGTCTTCTGTCCATTTCTATTCTGTGACTGCTATCATTTGGCTTTGGATGGCTTTATACGCAGACTCGCTAAGCCTTTTCCTGCTGATTAAGATATTAACTGCCTAAATCTGGCACTAATGAGAAGATTGCCCGCGGTTTTCTGGGTAATTGCGGGTATTGTCTAATTGGGACTGTATTAGGGCACTTTCCTTTGGCAATTCAGTAATGCAGGATCCCGCAAAACTGGACTATCATCGAGTGAACACAAGTGTGTTTTGAAATTCGAATTCCAAATTTAAACGGATCGGTTATTGCGGGACACTGCAAGCAGGATGTTTGTGTGAACGTTAATATTAAAACACGCATTACCTAGGTACTACTTTATTCTGGATCCTGCAAAAACAGTTTTTGCAAAAAACGGGATGTCTCTGTGCGAAAGAGCCTTTCCTGTTTTGATTTTGCCGTAACATAAAACTGACAATGGTCAATACAGTTCTGTTGATTTTTAAATAATATACTAAAAATATCCAACGACTATTTTAGTAGTTATTGTTCGTTCTATCGCCATATTTAATATACGTTCGGAAAAGAGTTTAATTTAAAAAAAATATTTATTCAAAAAAGCGGCGTAAAGAAATTAAACGGTCATTTTTCAGAGAATAACCAGTTATAGATAGCATCAATTCACGCGGCAAAAAATCACAGGCTTTTTTTCAGCGAAATTTTAATCTGTCAGGAAAAGTGTATTTATTTATCTTTCTTTTATGAAAACTTTACTGCCAGAAACACACTGAAAAATATAAACGAATAAAAAATTAATTTATACTATGAATTTTTTAATATGAAAATAAGAAATAACTTGCCTTTCCACGCCAATTTTACCAAGTTCGTAATTCATCTATGATAAAATTAAATTACATCCTTATTTTTATTTCATTCAAGTAAGGGTTATGATAAAAATAAACAGTTATTTAAATAAAGGCAAAAACAATCATACAATATTGTGTAAAAGTTGATTTTTTTTTTTTTAATAATCCCAACTAATATTATAAATGCGAAAGTAACTCTGTCTGTCTGTCTGTCTGTTACGCTTTCCCGCTTAAACCTCGCAACCGATTTTGATGAAATTTGGCATAGAGATAGTTTGAGTCCCGGGAAAGAACATAGGATAGTTTTTATCCCGGTTTTTGAAACAGGGACGCGCGCGATAAAGTTTTTCTGTGACAGACAAAATTCCACGCGGGCGAAGCCGCGGGCGGAAAGCTAGTTTTAATATAAAACCTCTTATTTTTGTTCTTTCTTTTAATGTTTTACTTCTGAATTTAGTAGATTACATCCAAGTCCAAATTTTCAGCAATACGTCAACATAGGTACAAAAAGACAAAATAATTCAGAGAATGGCTGTCGTTTCCGCTCCATATGAAAAATGTAAAAAACTGATTTTATTGATAACTGTAAAATATAAAATATTACCATTAAATCTAAGTAGGGGAGAGCGGGATGTATGTATTAAATATTATCAGCTAATTTAAGAAAATTATCAATACACTGATCACTTCAATTGAATTATTTGTACCATTTACCCGTACTCGTTTTTGTTGAAAAACTAAATAAAATACAACCATGTTTATAGCTCCATTATAGAAAAAGTCGTCCATACATGTTAGAAATCCCCAAATAAAAATAATTTAAGTTTTAGTGACAGCAAAAAAAACATCATTTTATGCCGATAAATTACAATTTTATAAGTAATCTTAATTAAATAAATGTACTGCGAAAATGCATCATTGAATTATTTGTTTTTGAGACATTTTCAAACAAATGGACAATCATATTTATCAAACAAAAATCTCTGTATAAAAATTTAATACAACTTAAAAAAGGATAGAGTTACGTACCTAGTTCATTATAGTAATGTTCCACTGTTAAAATAACTTGTAACATTTCAACATGACGAGTGATATCTCAAAAAATAATTGGGTAAAATGAAATTATAATTATTTTTGTCATTACCATCAGTTGGTAACCAAAGGTTGTTCGTGTCAGATTCTTGTAAATTATATCACAACATCTTTTTATCTTGTGGCAGTTCAAATAATATTTTCATACATTTACGTATATGGAAAGGCATAAAAAAAGGTTATGACTTACGATGATACAAATATGAGATTTATTTTCTTACTATCAAAGATCAAAGGCGTTTCCCTGTGGGATTTTACAGCGATGCTTTCGTTACTGTATTAATAAAAACATGTTATACGGATTCGATGTTAATAAGCACAAAAATAATATTTCAAACAAGTAGGTAGACCCAAATTCTGAAACTTTACTCAAAATGCTCGATTTAAGATGGTAGCACACTTATCAACCAGAAAAGGGATCGTAACCGTATCAACTAGAGGCGATCAGTATTCTTTGTATGAAACTCCATACTGCAACACCACTTATCCGCACGCAAACCTCTCCACGCGGTAGACAGCGCGCGAAAAACGATGACAGCTCGCGAAAGGCGATACGGTGTCTAACGGTGTTGATCCCTTTCCGAGATGATAAGTCTGCTATGACCTTTATTGAACGCACAATGTTACTATGAGGCCATTTTAACCGACTTAAAAAGAGGAGGTTCTGTTTAATATTACATTTTGATGTTCATAAGTGCCACTTGTGGTTTAAACTGAATAAATATTTTTGATTTTGATTTTTGATTTCAAACTTCAACGATCTCAAACGACGTTAACTCGATCCAAACTTAAAAATTCGTATTAATTTAAATGCATTCATGACCGAAGAGATATTTGTAAGGCTGTGAGAAGATGAAATGTTGGAATTTAATGAATTACTTACTGCTGGAATTTTAAGTTTGCGTCAAGTTCCGGAAGTTTGTTTTGACTTTTATTTCAGTAAAACGTCAAGTGCTGAATAAATTCAGATGCCCACTGTGTTGTTAAAATATTTATTGAAATTATGGTCATTAAAAATTTAATCGAATAATTTATAACAGGTGAAAAGGCTTAAATATTACCTATCTTTAAAAGAAAATAATAGTTTTATTCCGATGCCCACTGTGTTGTTAAAATATTTATTGAAATTATGGTCATTAAAAATTTCA